CCGGCTCCACCCTGTAATCCCAGCACTTGGAGACTGAGGTGGGTGGATCATGACCTCAGGAATTGAGGACCATCCTGCTAACACAGTAAAACCCCGTCTCTACCAAAAACACAAAAGAATTAGCCAGGCGTGGTGGCAGGCGCCTGTAGTCCCAGTACTCGGGAGAGCTGAGGTGGGAGAATGGCGTGAATCTGGGAGGCGGAGCTTGCAGTGAGCAAGATCGTGCCACCGCACTCCAGCCTGGGCAACAGAGCAAGACTCTGTCTCAAAAAAAAAAAAAAAATCAAATCCAAATTAAAAAAATACAATACCAAAAAAATACAAAAATTAGCTGTGTGTTGGTGAACACACGCGCAACCTCTGCCTCCCAGTTTCAAGTGATTCTCCCGCCTCCGCCTCCCAAAGTGCTGGGATTACAGGTGTGAGCCTGGCCTGATTTTTTTTTTTTTTTTTTTCCCGAGATGGAGTCTTGTGTAGGGACCAGCCCTACGGGGTCTGTGGGTTTTTCTCCCGATGTGTGGAGACGAGAGATTGTAGAAATAAAGGCAGAAGACAAAGAGATAAAAAACAGGTGGGCCCGGGGGACCACTACCACCAAGACGCGGAGACCAGTGGTGGCCCTGAATGCCAGGCTGTGCTGTTATTTATTGGATATAAGACAAGGGGGCAGAGTAAGGAGCGTGAGCCATCTCCAGTGATAGGTAATGTCATGTGGGTCACGTGTCCGTCCACTGGACAGGGGACCCTTCCTTGTTTGGCAGCCGAGCTGGAAAGAGTGAGACAGGAGACAGCTTACACCATTATTTCTGCATTTCAGAGACTTTTAGTCCTTTCACTAAATCTGCTACTACTATCTAGAAGGCAGAGCCAGGCGTACAGGATGGAACATGAAAGCGGACCAGGAGTGTGACCACTGAAGCACAGCATCGCAGGGAGACATTTAGGCCTCTGGATAACTGCGGGCAGGCCTGACTGATATCTGGCCCTCCACAAGAGGTGCTGGAGCAGAGTCTTGTCTAACTCCCCCACCGGGGAAAGGGAGACCCCCCGACCCCGCCGCCCCTGTCTGCTAAGTAGCGGGTGCTTTTCCTTGACATTGACGCTACCGCTAGGTAACCGGCGTCTTCCCAGGCGCTGGCGTTACCACTAGACCAAGGAGCCCTCTAGTGGCCCTGCCTGGGCATAACAGAAGGCTCTTAGTCTTCTGGTCACTCCTCACTGTGTCCCTTCTGCTTCTGTCTCTCTATGGCCTGGTTTCTCCTAAGTTATAATTGTAGAGTGAGGATTATTATAATGTTGGGATAAAGAGTAATTGCTACAAACTAATGATTAATATTCATATATAATCATATCTATGATTTATATCTAGTATAACTGTTCCTCTTGCTTTTTTATTTTTTTTGAGACGGAGTCTCGTTCTTGCCCAGGCTGGAGTGCAGTGGCGCGATCTCGGCTCACTGCAAGCTCCACCTCCTGGGTTCACACCATTCTCCTGCCTCAGCTTCCTCAGCAGCTGGGACTACAGGCGCGCACCACCACACTCGGCTAGTGTTTTGTATTTTTAGTAGAGACGGGGTTTCACCATGGTCTTGATCTCCTGACCTCGTGATCCGCCCTCCTCAGACTCCCAAAGTGCTGGGATTACAGGTGTGAGCCACCACGCCCGGCCTACAATTCTGATTTTATATATTTTCTTTATTATACCAGAATGGCTTGTGCCCTTGGTCTCTCGCCTTGGCACCTGGGTGGCTTGCTGCCCACAGTCTTGCTCTGTTGCCCAGACTGGAGTGCAGTGGTGCAGTCTCGGCTCACTGCAACCTCCGCTTCCCGGGTTCAAGCAATTCTCCTGCCTCAGCCTCCTGAGTAGCTGGGACTACAGGTGCCCGCCACCATGCCCGGCCGGCCAATTTTTATATTTTTGGTAGAGATGGGGTTTCACCATGCTGGCCAGGCTGGTCTCAAACTCCTGACCTCAGCTGATCCACCCGCTTCAGCCTCCCATAGTGCTGGAGTTACAGGTGTGAGCCACCGTGCTTGGCCCCGGTGTACAGTAATTTTTTAATGTTTAGTGTGATTTTTTTATTCGGGGTTCCCCACAATGGAATTTCCAAGTCAGAGGCATCTCAAAAAGTTTCACTGTAAGTTCTACTGAGGCTTATGTGTTATATGGAATTGGAAATTGGCAGCCTTGACAAATTATTTTGTTTAATTCCTTAAATGGCTCATTGGGGGAAAACATTGTATGGTACACTTGTGCTTGAGAAAAATAGAAGAAACATTTTGGTAGGTCTTTGCCTCTAACAAGTCAATGAAACTAGGTGGATAAAGTTCCTGGAATTCTCATTGCCCTTGGATGAAATGTGGACACAGGAATGAGTGGTGGTTTGCCCTTCCCTGTGTCTCCAGGTCCCACCGAGTGTGGATCAGTGGGAAGATGAAGGATTCCAGTCAGCATCCAACCTGACTCCTGATTCTCAGTCTGAGCCCAGCGTGACCCCAGACGTGGACCTGTGGGAAGCCGCACTCACCTATGAGGCCAGCAAGCGGAGGTGCTGGGAGCGAGTTGGCTGGTGTGTGCCCTTCTTTGCCTTGGCATGCAGTGCCCTTACCCCTGCATGAGCGTGGCCTTGTGTGGGGTGTGTGGGGGGCATTGTGTACTCAGGGTCCCAGGCAGTTGTGATGAGTTAGGAACCTGAGCTAGTGTCCCACATTGACTGAGTCCTGAGAGTTAGGAGAGATGCAGAGGGGAAAACACTAACAGCCTTTTTTTTTTTTTTTTTTTTTGAGACAGAGTCTCGCTCTGTCGCCCAGGCTGGAGTGCAGTGGCCGGATCTCAGCTCACTGCAAGCTCTGCCTCCCGGGTTTACGCCATTCTCCTGCCTCAGCCGCCTGAGTAGCTGGGACTACAGGCGCCCACCACCACGCCCGGCTAGTTTTTTGTATTTTTTTAGTAGAGGCGAGGTTTCACTGTGTTAGCCAGGATGGCCTCGATCTCCTGACCTCGCGATCCGCCCGTCTCGGCCTCCCAAAGTGCTGGGATTACAGGCTTGAGCCACCGCGCCCGGCCACTAACAGCCTTTAAGGAGGCCTCACCTCCCCACCCAGTAACCAGATCACACCTGCCGGGCAGAGCAGTCGGAGCAGCTAAGTTATGTCCTTACGACCAGTCAGAGGTGCCTGAGAGCTGCCTGGCAGGCCGTGTGGTTAGTGCCAGGAAGAAATGCTCACTGGGCACAGGGTGCTGATGAAGGAGCCTTTTCTATCCGTGTCTGGAGGAGTTGGGAGTGGCAGTCTGGGCGATGAGAAGCTCCAGCTGCAGCAGCTTTTCCCTGACTGGTGCCAGCAGCTTGCTCTCCGGATGCAGTAGCCACTCACTCCCTGGCTCATCTGGGTCCAGAGGCCTCTGCACTCAGGACCTCTCAGAGTCTTTAATGTGGTGGCATCTTTTGATAACTCCCAGAACCCAGACAGAGAATATGCATTTTGGCCAGGCACAGTGGCTCACAGCTGTGATCCCAGCACTTTGGGAGGCTGAGGTGGGCAGATCAC